CGCTCTTTCCAATAGCTAAATGGTCCCCTCCCCAAAGCGATCAATTCACAGTGACCCATTCCACGGGGCATGCCAGACATCAGATGAACAGAGGTGGTGTGCCACTGGCTTCTTCTAAGTAGCCACTCCAGTCTTCCTTGGTGGTCTCCCATTCAAGTACTGACCATGGCAGCCCTGCAGCTTCAGGCCAAACTGGGCTAATGGAGCTGCTAAGGTGTAGGAGGACCCTGGTTTAAATCCCTACTGAGCAGTGGAAGGTCTCTGACTCACCTTGGGCCAGTCACTCTCTCTCAACCTGGCCTACATCAGAGAGGGTTGTTGAGAGGATAGTGTGGAAGAGAGAATGATATCCACACTTATATGCAAGTTCTATACAGAAGTTTATCTTTCCCTTTCAGAGGGCAGCCTTCCTGAGTTCTGGGATTGACACAGAGGTTCAGTCCATGCACAAGTTTGGGTAGGAGCAAACATAAACTGCAGTGGCTCAAGTGGTTAAGACGCTGAACTGCAGGCTGTGGAAGGTCAGTAGTTCAGCAGTTCGAGACGTGAGTTGCCGCATGACGGAGTGAGCTCCCATCTCTAGTTCCAGCTCCTGCCAACCTAGCAGTTCGAAAGCAAAAAATTGCAAGTAGATAAATAGGTACCACTTCGGTGGGAAGGTAATAGCGTTCCGTGCGCCTTTGTGTTTAGTCATGCCGGCCACATGACTACGGAAATGTCTTCGGACAGCGCTGGCTCCTCGGCTTGGAAATGGAGATGAGCACCGCAACCCTAGAGTCGGGCTCAACTGGCTTTCGAGCAAGGGAACCTTTACCTTAAACATAAGCCAGGCTGATCTGAAATATCACACTACCCAAAGCATCTGCACCATGACCTAAGAAACATACCCCAGGGAGTGCTTAAGTGACTGAAGCAGCCCAAGGGAGGGACAGGATAAGACACTGGCCTGTATTTGTGTCTCCATCATGCATATAAGGCAGGTACTTCTGGGAAAAGTACTGCAGGAGGCACACTCCCTTCCCCACACCTCTGCTGCCAATTGCCACCTGAACTAGGCTGGTAAGAGGATACCAGATGGGATGCTTGGGGCAGCAAAATGCCTTGAAGTGCCAAAGATCCATTGCTGCATGCCCAGACCTCTGGCTCCCCATGCAGCTGCTTAGGTTGCTGGTAAGGTTGGGCTGGACCCTTTGCTCCATTTCCATTCAGCAAGGGCTCTTATAGCACCTACACATTTCTACCTCTTGGCTTTACATTAAAAGCCTTCTGCCCCAGAGAAATGTTGTTCCTGAACTGTTAGCCATTTGTGTTGTGTAGACAAATTTCCATCAGCAGAAAACTGATGAAGTAGAAGGTTTTGCACAATTTTCTCCACAGCTTCCATCTCCCAGTGTTATTTGTCAAGCTTGGCCCTAGAAGATTATTAGAATTTGCAAATATTCCTTTGAATATGTGAAGTTGCCTTAACCTTGGCCTACCATGGTCAGTGATGTCCACTTTGGCTGTCAGCAGCTAGAGTTGCCAGGTCTGGGTTGGAGAATACCTGGAGACAGGGCTTTTTTGGTAGAAAAAGCCCAGCAGGAACTCATTAGCATAATAGGCCACACCCAACAGCCGAAACTCATTAGCACATTAGGCCACACCCTGACACCACAGCTTATTAGCATATTAGGCCACAGCCCCGTGTTGCCAGAAGTGTGGTCATCCAGCCACACCCACCTTTTGCTTCTTATTCTGTTTACCTTGTTTGTTGTCAAAACCCAGGGCCTTTTTTTTGTAGCAGGGACTCCTTTGCATGTTAGGCCACACACGCCTACTGTAGCCAATCCTAATGAGTTTCTGCTGTTGGGTGTGGCCTATTATGCTAATGAGTTCCTGCTGGGTGTGGCCAACTCAGGAGCCAGCCGGAACTCCGTTCCTGCCCAAAAATAGCACTGCCTGGACACTTTGGGGGTGGATCCAGGAGAGGGTAGGGTTTGGGTTAGGGAGGGGCCTCAGCATGGTACAATGCCATCGAGGCCACCCTTCAGAGCAGCCATTTTCTCCAGGGGAGTTGAACTCTTGTCAGCTGGAGATCAGTTGTAAATGCGAGAAATCTCCAGGCCCCACCTGGAGGCTGACGACCCTATCAGCAGCTCTCCAGGATCTCAGGCTGAAGTCTTTTCTTTCACCTACTGTCCTGACCCTTTTAAGAGGAGATGCCATGGACTGAACTTGGGGCCTTGCACATGCCAAGGAGATGCTCTTCCATAAAGCCATAGCCCCCTTTCCTTCCACTGTGTACTGAAAGGCTCGATAGGGGTTCATAGCAAAGAGTTATATACTATCCCCAAAATAAATGAACCCCTCCCCTCCATCAGCACTGTATGGATACTTTGTATGGGGCGAATTGTGAAAACCCCAAAAGCTTTGTATATAAACAGTTGTTTGCAGAAGAGGAAAGAGTGCCCAATGATCATAAAGTACAGCTATACTGGAGGGGGTGGGAATCAGCTGACGTATCACCAGGACACCTCTTCCAGGTTTGCAACACACATACATTCCCATGGCTAACAATGTAACTTGTATTTGGAACCTACAGCCTCTTGTCACCATATCCTGTACAAGGTACCAATTATTGTCTTAACAAAACAACCTTGGGTTCACCAGCACATAGATGGCTGGTTGTGCTTTCAGTTCTATTGGGCTCCAAAATTGAAAAATAGGTTCACAACCATTTCTGATATATTTGAACAGTTAAGGGAGAGGATTACAAGGCTTTGATCTGAGTTCAACACTGAAACAAGTATTAATGGTCAATAAAGAAGTCATCCCTTCAAGAATGGACAGAGTGCAAGAAAACAAATTTCACAAGTAATTAACCTTCTAACACCTCAACTTCCTGTTCTAATCTGTTCATTTTGCTTTTATAGTCCTATTACACATTTTCTTTACAAAAACACTTGAATTTTTGACACTGCCATTGTGAGAGCTGGTTTAGGAAACTGCAGTTTATGCCCTCAGAAAGAACAAAGTTTGACTCCAGTGCCACCTTTAAGACCAACAAAGTTTAATTCTGGGTACAAGCTTATAAAGGTAAAGGTAAAGGTTCCCTTGCTCGAAAGCCAGTCGAATCCGACTCTAGGGTTGCGGTACTCATCTCCGTTTCAAAGCCGAAGAGCCAGCGCTGTCCGGAGACATTTCCGTGGTCATGTGGCCGGCATGACTAAACACCAAGGTGCACCGAACGCTGTTACATTCCCCCTGAAGTGGTGCCTATTTATCTACTTGCAATTTCTTGCTTTCGAACTGCTAGTTTGGCAGGAGCTGGAACTAGAGACGGGTCATGCGGCAACTCGGGTCTCGAACTGCTGAACTACCGACCTTCCACATCCTGCAGTTCAGCGTCTTTAACCACTTGAGCCACCGCAGCTTATACCCATCATTAAAAACTTTGTTGGTCTTAAAGGTGCCACTTGACTCAAAGTGTGTTCTGTTTCTTCAGACCAACGAGGCTACCCACCCGAATCTGCCCTCAGATAGGTTCTGCTGCTTACCCTCATAGAACAGCTTGTGGGAATAGATTGGGGGACAGTCTAGAACACCGACTAGGAGGATGAGCTATGCTCTACCAGGTCACCCCACCCCACCTATCCAAACCTCTGCCAGACTTGCTAGATGGTCTGAGGCAAGCTACTTCCCATTCAGCCTCACAGATGAAACAGGATAACAATACTCATTCACCCTACAGGGCTGGCTTAAGAAAAATAGTGTGTGTGAACACATAGGTTAAAGAAATGCTAAACACCATCAAGAAGAATACTTATCCCATACCTATAGAACCAAATTTAAACTCCCAGTTGTCTTTTGTTTTGAGAATGCATGCATCATGGTGGGGTGGGGGAGGGAATTGTGGGCTGCACACATTGAACCCCCTACCACAACATCAAAAAACAAGTTGAAGACGTATTATGTAAGAAACTTTTATAAAAAGTTTTTTTACAAAGCAAGTACAATTTATGGCTGCAGAAATTCACCTTCCTGCAAAAAAAAGGTACACAATATATCTCTATTATAGAGTTCAACGTTTTTTTTTTTAAAAAACATGAGGCCAAAGCCCCAAGACAGTTCATCCATAACTCTTGAAGGTCCTCTTCCACCCCCACCCCAAATCAGATGTTAGAAAACTATAATCCAAAATATACACACAAGCTGCATTCTGTGCAAGGGTTCTTGTTTGCCTTCGCAAGCTGCAGATCTGTCCATGTTCTCAAGAACTGTCCCACTGTTGAAAGGATGCAATCACACGTTCACTTATAAGCCTCCCCAGGACTGGGAAGACGTGCCAGGCAGATCAGATGGCTCAGAGGTTTTTCAAAAAATTGCCTTTGAACCGCACTTTTCCCTCTTCATTAGGTGTAAGGCAGCAGTCCCATGGTTAGTATGAAGAGGGACATTTTTTAAAAAAGTTGTTTTTATCCTCCTCACCCTGTATGGGATGTTGTTTTCAGGCAGCTGGAAGTTTTTTGTTTTGCGGGGTGGGGGTGGGGGGAGATCAGAAAAATAAAACCCGTTCCTGTTAGACCCAGACAAGACATCTGAAATTGCCTTGTGCAATCATGTTTCAAGAGTCAAATTATCTGGAAGGCAGTTTTCTCCGTTACTGGATTGCAAGGGTTAAACTTCTGATTTTTCTCCAGTCAAGCCTTCTTCTTTCTCACATTGGAGAGAACCAAGTGTCAGGATCCCACACCTGCAGTCTGAATAGGGAGGGGGAGGGAGAGAAAGACATGTCATTTTCAGGAGGCAGATCAGAGGCAGGTCTGCAGACATCCTGGCGCCAGAGAGGAAACGTCTATTTACCTCCAGCTGATAAGAAATCAGGAGCCAACACTCAGGCTAGGGCGTTGTTAATTGGCACCAAAAAAAAACCCCAGGGAGGGGCAAAGAGAGCGAAATGGACCCTTCTGTTTCTATAACTCTCTGCAGATGGGATTCCAGATTCCGAGGGAGGGATGCCTTCCTGGGAGGGGGGTGGGGGTGGGGAGAAGAGTGCCTCTTGATTCACTAATTTCAACAGGGCTTGTTTAAGCAGCTGCAAAGACTTAAAAGCTGTAAAAAGGATGACATTGTAAAATAATGATTCCATTTACCAGCAAAGGGCAAGAAGTATCCAGGCAGCAGCCACTGACATACTGGCAATAGGAACAAGGGCACAGATGGCAGCCTTGTGATATGGGCAAGGCAGTCCAATGGGGTTCCTCTGGAGTAACCATGGCAAACCTGTGTTTCTAGATGGCCAGTTTGTAAGAGGATTTGAATAAACCTAGGGTGTAAGATGGGAAGGATGATGGGGGGGGGGGGCCCCTGGGTTTAAGAACCTACCTGTTGAGGCTGTTAGTGGCACAGATTTCGCTCATCTTTTGAGCAGAGTTCTGAGGCCAGCTCGGCTGCCTGCAAAGAGGAAAAGGTGAAGAATGAAGACAACCCTGATTTCAAGGTAATATAAGCAGTAGCGCTGAAAGTCCTACAAGCAACGCGATTTTTGAGAAGATAGGCTTGTAAACAGACTAAGGTTCAAATCCTACGGACATTGCGCCCCAACTAAAGGGGCTCACATAATTATGAGTAAACATTCTCAGGACTACCCTGCGCGAATACGGAAGGCGATTTCCCCCAAATGTCCACACTCCTATTGAGACCTCTGCCAGGGAAGCAAATACGCACTAAACATACACACAGCCCAATCTTTTGTTGCGTGTCTGCTGGGAAGGAAGTCCCACAGATTCCAGTACGTCTTCCTCCTTATTTGGAATGTTTCGGAGTTCATCCTTGGACAACGCGTTTAAGGTTGCGACTGTAATCTTTTCTGTCTAAGTCTTTAAAGTGGCTTCAGAATGATGTTGGCGATCCATTAACGCCGTGACATTTCCCAGCGCAATGATATAGAAGACAACGATCCTAAACCTATTTGGAAGTCAACCAATCTCACGACAGCGCTTGGTAGTTTAGAGTCGACCCGTTAAGGATCTCAATTACATACCTCCCCCCGCCCCCATGTTTCTGGATCGTCTAGGGCTTAATACAATTCTCGGGGGCCTACTCAGAGCCGGACAGAACAACCGCAGTAACCACACACACTTTAAATTAAAAAAAGGCTCCAGACTCGGTGGCGCGCGCGATTAACAGGGCAATCCTAGACCGAATCCGATCACTCTAAACCCACTGGTTTCACCGTAAGCCGGGAGATCAGAACTGGACTGGGGCGGGAAGCACTCTCCGCCTCTCTGTAAGAGACTACGCCGTTCTCACTGGCGGCCGTCATGTGCTTTAGGATCCGTGGCTGGCTTGCCGGCACCACGCCTGACGCGCCCTCTCTCCAGTTCCCCTCCCCATCTCCTCGTCTTTGCCCAGCGCATCCTTACTTTTAAGGAGAGCAGAGAAGTCTCAGGAGACGGATCCTGCCCCTTCTTCGCCTGTTCCTCCAAGACGATCTGGAGATCGAAGATATAGTCTATGACATGCTGGAGAATCTCCACCTGGCTGACTTTGGTGCCCTGCGGGATGCCCGGCACGAGCTCGCGCAGCTTCGAGTAGCAGTCGTTCATGTCGTACAGGAGGCTCATGGGCTCTTCCAGAGCCGGGCTCTTGTCGTTGCTTCCCCGGGCGATGGCGAGGCTTTGCTCGGAGAGACAACAGACGGCTTCGTAGCAGCTCCTGACGGATCGCACCGGGCTGATGGCTTTCATGGTTGCCCTGCGTGGCTTCTAACAGACGCGGAGAAGTGAGGCTGCGGGCGAGCGCTTTTTCTCGAGGCGAAGCGAACAGGCTGTCAGCCTCGGCGGGGTTTTATAGTCCAAGGGCCGGCCAGCCCGCGCGGCGCCTCCGCCCCCCTGGATGCAAATGAGCCTCCGCGCTCCCCTCCCTTCCCTCTCTCTGATGACAGCCGAAAATGTTGGCTGGAACGCTGAACAAGCGGGTTAAAACGGCGAGACGCGTTTTCATTGGCTGCCACCACACCAAACAGCAGAGGACATCAAAGGAATGAGGAAGCTCTGGTTACAAAGAGGGCGGGGCTTAGAGGCTCCCCAGTTCCATTCAGTTAGGACGTGTTCAGCTCTGTACCTGCCTGTGGAAATAGACGAATATTTGTGGATCTTTCTCTTCTCTTGCCGTCATTATCTTGATAGGAGCGTGAGAACGCATTAATTGTATGTAGACAGGTTTTCAGCGGGAAGCTGCCTTTTTTGATGGCCTTTTTGCAGTCCATAAACCATAAATCCCCACAACGGCTGAGAAATTTCCCGAGGTTTTTTAGACCCACCCCCCTTCGAAGGGTTAAGAGGGAGGGAATCTTGTAAGAATTTAGTGCCGCCTTGTTCCTCAATTTGCTACTCATATGACGCTGTTGTGGGGAGAAATTGTTGGTGGGGGAGGGGGGGGGGGGGGGGGGGGAGAGAAGGATTACGGGAAAGCTGAGGTTTTGATGAAGCAAACAGACTTGAGCCAGTAAAAACGGATAATAGAAATGGGAAGTGTGTGTGTGCGTGTATGACAAAGACATGGTTTATTTTATAAACAACGAGAAGAGGCTTTTTTGGGCGACCAGACTGTTGTTTCACTGGGGAGCACACAATCTTGTGGCCTCACCCAGGTCAGTCCTGATCCCCAGTGCGGATGCGTGCAATAAGTGAATTTAGGAAGATGCATTAGCGGTGTGAATGCACGTTTGTCCATGCAGGAGAATGAGTGCAACCCGAACTAAAAGGTTCGAATCCGTTTTACCGGAGGGGGGGGGGGGATTCCCGCTATGATATTCCTCTGCATTTGAAAAAAGCCAACTCCCAACAAGCCGAAACCTAGCTCAGCAGGGAGAATGGGTCTACCTCCTCTTTTTGTTGACTGTACTAGTTTCTCTGTTTGCAGCTAGTTCTTCCTACCAGGGAGGAGCATTCTAAAATGTAAGCCTGTTAACTGGAGTCAGAAGCAGTTCATCCTGTCACCTCACGTATGAACCAGACCCAAGTCTTGCAAATGCACCCAGGTCATGTAGGTAAGGTAGTATTCTAACACAAAGGCTCTGGCCATTCTGCTGGAGAAAGGCACCACCTTTACCCAGTAGGCTCTGCAAATACAGTCAGGATGACCCTTAATCAGCTAGTCCTGAGGGTTGTCAGTGGGCCCTCTTCCTCTCCTTTTTGATTTGAGGATTATATTTGGAATCCAACCTGAGGTTTAACATGAAAGTCTGCCCTCTATGACCTTTCAGACATTAATTCTGGATTAGTCTGATTTATTATTTGATACTGACATTTCTATCCTACCTTCCTTTCATCACGGAAGTCAAGGAGTATTTTGGAGGTCTCCCGTCCAGGTAGTGTCAGACCTAGACCTGCTTCAGGGTACTTCTGTAAACTGCTATGTGCCTTATTTAGATATGTATACCCTGCTTTTCTCCAAGATGGGGATCCAAATTGGTTTACAACTTGATCACCCCATCCCTCTGTTTTGTCCTCAACACAGCAGTCCTGTGAGGTACATCAGGCTGAGTGTCTGGCCCAGAGTGACCCAGTGAGTTTCCATGGCTGAGTGGGGATTCACACTTGGGTCTCCCAGATCTTAGTCTGACACTAACCACTGCATTACACTGGAATCAGACTATTTAGAGAGTAGCCAGAGGCTCCAATTCATTGAATATACACGTGAGCTTCAGCTGTTAAATGGTCCATGGATGGAAAGAGGATTTCACAATAGTTTGATCTGAACCTCATAATAGACTCAACGCCCTCCCCCATACACCCGTTTGTAGTCCACATATACTCTTTTGGTGTATGCACATGAAGATCTGTGCATCTTATTCTGGTGATGGTGTCCCTTATATATGGGCAGATCTGGAGTTTTTAAAAAAGCTGTAGCATTGGCCTAATGCAAGTACCCCGACAATCCGATCATAAACACATTACATGAAAGTAATGTCTCCCAAGTAATGGACACAGTCCCACCATATATATTGTTTCATTCTCAGATCAGTGGGACTGCCTACTAAGTAGGTGTGCATCAAATTGCAGCAGAATGAATGCTTAATCCTGTCTGGATTATACTCCTTGTGTTTAGAGTTGGGTTGTTAAAATTTAAACAAATTGTATCAGGAGTAGACCTGTGCTTTTCAATGTTGACCTGCCCTATTCATGGGTACAGATGGGGAAGGGATGGTTTAGAGGCAGGGGGTATTGAATCTCCCATAACACTAAATCCAGGTGCACCCAATGAAGCTGCTGGGCAATAGACTGTAGATGGGCAAAGCAGAGTACTCCTTTGTTTTTTAAAAATAATTAAATCGTGGGATTTGCTGCCAGAGGACATAATGATGGGGATTAGGCAGATTCACTACTAGCCATGGTGCCTTAAGGAAAGCACAACATTGCAATCAAACACTTTCCTGGAATTAAGCCCTATTTACTAGACCTGTTTAGGATGGCACAGTCAATGACTGACATGGGTTTTACATGGCCTCCATATAATTTTTCTGCTGCTAGTTTAGTGATTGGTTTTTAAAGCATTACTTCGTCTCTCTAGTGGCTGCATATGACGTTAGAAAATGTGTTATTTTAGAGGAAAGAAGCAAAAGACACCTGGAAAAAATTATGGTTTGCCACAAGCACAGTGTACACTAGAGTTATCTGAACCTAGTTTTTCTTCCGCACCACCACTGATTCTTTTAAAAAGAAAGCATTTCCCCCACTTTGGCATACTCTGGCCCTGGTCACATGGCAAAGTTACCGCGGGAGAGGCACGGATGGTGGGCGGATTATCCGGGCGCGATCACACCCCAACATCTGGGAAGTGGAACGCACCCCTGGTTTACCGCTGACAATGCGCCTTAAAAAACTAGTACCTCCAAGGTACTAGTAAACATTTGCCACAGGCTGCCTCCAGACGCCCGTCCGGTCCCTCGTTTACCCGCCGGCACCAAGGGAAGGACCCGTGGTGTGCCGCTGGCGCATCTGATTGTGTAATTGCGCATCAAACTGCGCCGGGGCAATTAGCCACGCCTCCCCCCCGCGATATACGGCCTGTGTGACCGGGGCCTCTGTTGCTCTGATTTCAGGTTAGGCTTGGGGGAGGGAAATCACGTCCCATTGTGTATACAACCCATCACAGTAAATTTCTATGGATTTTTTTTACTTTGCTTACATTTCCGAATTTACAATTGTAATAATATTTGCTTTGTGTGTGTTTTGGTTGGAATGGGGGAAATCTATTTCAGTTATCCTGGGTACACATTTCTGAAATATTCTTTAAAAGAACATTTTGCATGCAGGTTTGCTGTTCAAAGTTCAATTGTGCTGGGTAACTCAACTGTTGTTTCGTATCTCACCTTTGACTTGGCCAATTGTCACTCCTGAGCAAAGAGAAAAACTAAGCCTAGATTAATGTTGTCCTTGGTTTCCAGGGAAGACAAGCTTTCATTTCTAAAAGCCCTTGGTAGCTGCAAGTTTGGACAGAAGTCACTTATGAAACTCCAGTCTTGAGAAAGAAGGCCTGTCTTAATTCTGTAGGGCTGGTCTGAGTGAAGGCAGCTGAAAGACTCACCACAAAGCTTGTTAGGTAAATGCTAAAGTTGCAGTCTTCTGCACCTTTACTTGGAAGTAAGCCCCAGTGAGAGCTGTGTGTGGATTTGAGTAAAGATAGGATCAAGCAGTCCAAACCATGCTTACTTGGGAGTAAGTGCCATTGAATTCAATAGCCATCAGGTTGCATCCGATGGAAGTGTAAAAACCCCACACTTAAGCCAACATGAAACCAGGTTGTCTTTTAAGGTGCTACCTGATTTCACTTCCAAGTAAACTGGGATCGGATCTGGCTGCATGTTAGTATTCATTACATGGACTCTTTTCTCCTTTTTCTTTCCAGGCACCCAAAACCATTTTATTGGACTTTTGAAGTGGTCTCTGTTGGTTTAATGGTCTGTGTTCAGTTTTTTGCTTTTTAAATTGTACTCTGGTGATCTGTAAACCACTTTAAGCCAGTATTGGCTGAGAAGCGCCGAAGATACTTAAATTATGCAGGGGAGCAGCCTTCCATTCTTTTCTTTTAAAACCTTGACTCTGTTCCTTTCCTTGTAATCTTTAATCCCCACCACGGTTTTATTGGCGGTGGAGTCGTGCTAACTCCGTAGCGCTCCCTTCCTCCCACCCCCAGACACCTACACCACCCCGCCACCGTATCCACAGACCTTCTCTCTCCTAATAGGCCGTGTGTACATGCATCTCGCTTGGCTGTTTAGCAAAAGGCAGCGCTAGCGCATCCCAGAACTTTCTGTTCCCACTCCTGCTCCCTCCCCCTTCCAGTCCTGCTTGCATTTTTTTTTTAAATGAAAGGATGTCATTAGGGCTTTTGTTTGAACTGTTTTTGTTTAAGAACTTTTCTCACAATCCTATTTTTTGTTAAGGAATCTGCTCCCTTTGCCCAGCTGTGTCCCTGTCCCTCCAGCTGTGTTGATCTAACTCGCAGTTCCAGACAGCCTGGCGCCAGCCTTGCAAACGTCATTGCATTCACACAGGGATGCGTGGCCAAGGCAACCTTTCCGCAGCCATAGCCACCGAACTGGAACCTCGCCGGGCAGCCAATGAGAAGAGGCTGGGGCGGGGCCGCGGGGCGGAAAGTGGGCGAGGCTTTGCGGAAGGAATCCAATCGGAGCTCGCGCTGCCCTTGCATAGGGTTTTTCCTCTCTTGTTACGTTGCTTTTTGCCGCTGCGTGTGTTTAAATGGGACAATCTGTTGAGGCCATAAAGCATTGTTTCGGGCCTTCTTCTGGGAACCGAGGCCCATGCAGAGCCAAGAATCAGAGAGAGGCTAGTAAGAACATATTTGTCACTTGGAACGGGTAAGGCCAGTGGATAAGCCATGGACGTGCTTTCTTGGCTTTCTGCGGT